AAATAATAAAAATATACAGAAAAATAAACTAAATATATAAAATTCACGCCGTGCAATACATCAGATTGATATCCTCCACAACCATAATTCAACCATACTTTGAATTTCCAGTCTTATATTACCACGTGGGTGAAACAAAAAATTAAAGAAAATGTATTCGATATATTATTTCACCACCCAGCACACATTACGATGTATCGCAAATAGTCGAATACATACGATCTCCAATTCGCCAGGCCGGGATACGAACAAGTGGATAGGTCTCTTTTTCGCTCAGCCGTTTTACGACTAGGGGAAAAAGGATCTCTTAGTCTAGTGTAATGAATTTGTTTTTGCGTATCTGTTGATTACGAGTGAGTGGCTGTGTTATGTCTGTCATCGTTTCGGCCCATTTGAGGTTCTGGACGGAACTCGACTCAGTGATTTAGAACTAATTACGAGATAACCGTCACTATTTGGACTACTATTTTTGACAGTCATTATTCGCAGTTATTAATGTAGTGAACGATTAATCAAAAGATATGACGTGTTCAGTACTTAGTGTGATTGGCTGTATGATTGAAGGCCACGCCTTAAAGTCTTAATACTGCTTTGTAATTGGTTAAGGTTTTGAAAGTGAATAAAGAGTGAATCTTGGCGAGTACACCAGGACAGTGGCAGTCCAGTCTTGGAGAGTCTAAGGCAGTCCTGGAGAGTCTTGGGGCGAGTCTTGACGCAGTCTTGGGCGAGTCTTGGGCCAGCCTTGCGATAGTCTTGGGCACTTTTCCCCAGGGCGCTGTGTCTTATAGAGTACTCGACTGACCGACTAAGACGAGAGTTGAAACATATTTCATTGTGTGCGTCTATTTGACTGTAAAGTCTAAGTCACTTTCCCGATCCCGCAACTCAAGGGGACGCGATAGAGAGACGAGACGAGATTCCCCCCTGGCACGTGTCGAGAACCCCAGAGGAGAAGAATTCCCCCCTGATACTAGTAATGTTCAAGAACATTTACAGAAGTCTTACGCGGAGTTTCAAGTCTTCTCATAAATCGTTCCATGTTCTTGATTTTATGCATTCGTGGACTCCAACCAGTGTCACGAGTCTGTAAAATACAAATAGACAATTATACAATATTTATGATGCAATATGTATACTTTCCTCAATAGCATATAATATGACAGCATAAGTAGTCCCATTGAAAAATTGACACAGACGTCTTATTCACGTTGAATTAAAACTGTACGTATCCGCATTGTAGACGAATGAGGTCATTAGATAGATTTTTCTCATTTCAACATCTCGTATTGTATAACTTACTTTACCATCAAACTTGGTGTTTCTAAAGGTCGGTTTAAACGAGGTAATTTTTGAGAGAATGTACTGAGCGACGCACGAAGCAACTTGGTAATAATAACCGTGACGGTTACACAATGTGATTAGTTGTCTGAAAAACCACCATGACGCTATTTCATGCAACGTACCATCTTGGCAACGCAATTATATAATACATATAAGGCATCTCAAGGAGCAGCAGGCATCCTAGCCTACGTTTACTGCTAGTCTCACACAAATCAAATTGGTAGCTCCCGTATTGAGTATTACGATGTAATACCGTATTAAAAAATACAACAATAACAAAACATATACGACAATGAAATACAGACAACATACATTTACCGTAGCACATGCACATCTCGATAATAATGCCAACATAGTTATGCAAAACTGGACGATGAATAGTATCTCCATATCTTGCGTAAGAACAGCTAACCTAGTGTTTGTGTTGGCCAAACTTACAACGGCAACTGTAACAGTTTCACATTTAATAATATAATATACCGCATTATGATTGTGACACGCCCATCTTAGCCTAAATAATGCTGTAACAAGACATGTCTTTAAAAAGCAACAGGAAATATAACATTAATGGGAAGGTAATTACACAAGCGCAACGTTAATACGCTCAATCGGTCTGTCATTATTCTATCAAATTACCGTATTACCTGTCTATTTTAAAATGTAGTTTATGGTTTGAACAAGGTTATGTGAGGGCATGCCCACTGTATTGGAGAGCTCTGAAAACATTCAGGTTTTATACAAAATTTGATTCAAAGTTTTTAATTTATTACTACAATTAAGCGTCTTAACAATTACCATTGAATGTATCCTCTTTCGGTAAAATATGCATCGTTGTCTTCCTGTCAATTTTGTTCAAAAAATCATCAGCATTTTGACATCGCGTGCCCTGTTCATATTTATTTCATATTTATTTGGATTTGGGTAATTTTTTGAATGGCAAATGTAAAAGATGTTTACATTGTTTATATTAGGTGAACAGTTGAAATTCAATTGACACAATAATACAACGATGGGCTATTACAACTCCGTAATTGTTTATTGCACAGGAAATGGTTTAATTATGTGTTTATTTCATATTCATGACTATGACTTTAGTAGGAATAAGTTAAGTCACTGTGTATGGAACATTTAAATGCAGCGGAGTCAAAAGTCATTAGATCTCAAAGATCAACCAAACATTTTGTCAGTGGTTTATTTCGGCGCCTTGGCATAAACAAATAACCCGTACACGCAAAATGGCCAATTCACTGGTTCGGCTGCTGAATCATTAGAATAATATTTCAGAAATAAAGGACGACGGACTGTACGTTATTGCGTTTTATAAATCACCAATATCGGAATTAGAGAATTTTATGAAGTCCTAGATTTACATTATCACACTATAAAAAACAAATTTAAATATGATGGTGATTTATAAAAATAATAATGAATCCTCTCATAACATTGCGTCACACAATATGTTGACTTGCCGACGTAATGTCTCTGGTCAAACATGTTGTCAAATAATATAGCCTGGATAGTTAACGTCGATAATGTGTGTTTAATCTAATTTTGAACAACAATAATTAGTCCTTAATATACTGAACTTAAAATAACGTCAATCCCTAGTAAGTCCTGTCTACTTTGTTCATTTTTTTTCATTTAAATCTAATATAATTGCCATGGAAACAACATCTCGTCTCAAAATTGCGTGATTGCATGTTTGGCCATCTATAGAAGAGAGATAAGAAGCTGTGGCATTTTGTTGTCATGTTGCTTGTAACACTCAATGCGAATTGATTGTCAATGGTTATAAAATGCACATGATTTAGTAGTTCCTGTTCAGTTGAAAATATTATTTAAATCAACACAAATGATCAATGTACAAATGTGCCGCATATATGAAACATCTCACATAAATTGTTAATTTCATATATAACAAATTGTTGATCAATTACACAGATCATGGATCAACGCTTCACACGATATGCTATATGAAGGTTGATTCTTTTGTGATTTTTCGGAAAAGGAAGTATACATTGTTATTTCGTCAACATTCACACATTTTTTACTCAGGAAAATCACCCGATTCCAAGATATTGTTCTACCCATAATACTTGCTTGAAAAGTTGAGACAGATAATTAATACTCGGGACCATTATTGTCTAACCTGTGTCAAAACGGGACTATAGAGTGTTTTGTTTTAACCACTGTACCAGCACTGCATTTGTTGTTTAACCCAGATTAATCCAATTATAATTTACAAGTATAACAAGCTAAATGGCACAGCAAACATCAATATTCATCTTGTCTGTTTTTTCTATCTCTCTCCTTTAGAGTACATCATTTGATATACATGTATTTACAAAAGCGTCTTACAGAGATTACATGCTATGAAATGTCCAGTTCCAAATTTAATAAATACTTTTTTTTCAATGATAAGTCTAGCATACATCACGCTACGTTTTGAGATACTGATACTTCATACGACAAAACATGATAGTGATTATAAAATCAATGTCCGGAAGGGGGAAGTGGAGAATTTATTCAAAGGACGCATGGAAGTTTTGAGAATTAATTTTAAATTTGATTCGGAAATGATAAAATACACGTAATTATGTTGCCGCACAAAAACGAATATGAACAACTGGAATTGACTTCATATCCCGTTATGTTTTGGGTTAATGTGTCAATGTCGGCAAGATTTGTTTTGTTATACATATATTCATGTACAAAACAGTTCTAGTTTAATATCAATCTGACTTTTATAAGAGTATATATATTCAACACATCAAATCACATAGTCAGGCAGTTGCGTGTAGCAAAATGCTTTATGTGTGACCGATAAATTCAGCATAAATAATATTTACGTGATAATACGAAAAAAAGTGTCAAAAAACAATCATGTTTTTAAAAAGGGTGTTTTCTACGCAGCTTTAGTTGTCTGCTTGATAGAACAAAACTGCTGAAATATTGTCATGATTTATTTTTGACAATAAATCTTTAACATTTGAAGGCACCAAAAACTATAATTAAAGATATATTGTTTTAACATATTCGCATTTGCAATATTATTACGAGGTTATTACGAGGATACCTCAAAGTATGAACGAAGACAGTACAACAAGTATCGATCGACGCACAGCGGAAGTCGATGCAACAGTGTACTGTCTGAGCGCATATTTTAAGGTATCCTCGTAATAACCGTATTACTATACATCATTTCGTTCCAAGGATACATCATGGGAATGCCGAAATCCAAAACCAAACAGAATCAGCGAACGTCTATGTGTGGCAGCCATGTTTGTTTTTATTATTACTGAGAGGACGCTTACGCGCGTAATCATTCCATATTTGGAATTCGCATTTCCTAATATGGTAGGATAATAATACCCCATAAAATACCGCAACATTACGACACGCTCTAACTCATGGCATCACGGTGACAGATGTATAATAATGTTTGATATGGTAGGCTGTAGAATACATAGAAATTGTTTGAAAAGAGGTATTCAATATTTAATTAGCAGGAAATTGATATAATTATTTGACAGGAAACAACTGCTAAATTAATGAAAGTAATTACTCATTTACTAAAAATTAAAATTACTGTTAATTAGCATTGTTGATGTATTGCTATATAAATTGTGGCAGTACCTTGAAATCTTCAGAGTGGTATTCCAAATCAAAGATGAATATTCATTGCGTTGTTCTTGTTCTGGTGTGTGCGGCATGTTTTGTGCAGACGAGACTGATCCTAGTAAGTATAGTTGAGCACGTGATACATCTCCATGAACACACAATGTTTCTGGTTAGTAATATTTTGGTGTGGGAGAATCGGCATGTTTTGCAAACACAACATACCTTTGTCTTGTGTCCTTAGTATGACGATAACTAAGATCAAGTCAAGTTATAGTATTTATTATCATATAAGGTTCCTAGGGTTTATATACAATTCATATTGATAGTTTTTGACTTTTTACCAAGATTAGAAATATAAGAGCGGAATCACCAAAGATGAGATTTATTTCTGATTTCAGAGCTATTATTGCCATGAACGCTTTCTCTAGATTTATCTTGAACTTGATGTTCGATTACGGCTATTTCATGTTTATGACTGAATGATGAATATTTATTAGTTCGTCGTTATGCAAGTCTGTATAGCTTCAATACTTTCGATATGCAAATGAGTACAATGGTAACAAATTCGGAACGTTCATGGCTCTTGTACATCGGTATTCAACCATGGCATTAAAGTTGCAAGGCTCTTTTTATATTCCTTTCGAGAATATAGAGGCACAGTGTACTCCAGAATGATTGTTTATAAGACATAGATATATCGCAACAAATATCTTTAGTCAGTCTATATATTTCGGGAGGACCGCGCACTCTGGCTTTAATATCTACTTATTGCAACGATTATATAACATATAAGTTTCTTCTTCCTTCCTTTAAGATCTAACTAATCTGATGTCGTGTCATGATGTATGGGAAACATCTCATATAAACATTTCAGTTGATACTATTTAGTGGATTTCAAAACTGAATGAATAATAATTGCCGATATGCACATATAGTTTTATTGTGTTATAGTAAAATATTAAAGCGGGGGAGTCGTCATCTACGCATGCGTCAGGTGGCCATAACGTTCATTGTTTACAAACAAGCGTCTACCCATGAGCCTTTGCGTTCTTAACGTGTGTTGTTATCATCGCTTGGAACTCAATTCCCGCGCGTGCGCAGGTGACGACCCTCCCGCTTTAAGTTTCTTGATATTCTTTACATGCAGGGAAAGAGAGCACGTAGCGACAATCTCGTCTCGCATAAAGTGGGTGACATAAATGCGTTCTTATTGGAAACTGGTACAGTAGGTAAAGTAAAACATTTTACACCTAGCTCGTTTAAGCAAGAATATTTATAAACGTGTAACATTGACACAAGAAAAAAAATGCGACTAAGCCCTGTGTATATTCACTTCTCGCAGTTGAATTATATTCCACCTTTTGACATTATGTGTTCTCAATTAAATTAAGCCTGCCCTACCGGTCCTGGATTCTCTTGTGAAATGAACGATAACTGCTACCAATCGATGAGAGAGCTTTGCAACGATGTGTCTATTTGTATGGACGAAGATATGTGCTCAGCCGTACCACCTGAATTCCAGGAAGTATGCCAATCGGCTAGTGATATGACTCGTGTAATGGTATGTCAGGCAGCTGATATGATCGACTGGGTTGACACCCGTGGTAAGTGAATGGCTTCACTGAGTTGGATGCGCAACGTGTATTAATTTGATATATTGGCAGCTAGCTAGATTCAAAGTTGTAATTAGTCTCAGATAGATCTGTCCAACCAAAGCAATAGTTTACTTCACCCATTATTATCAAAGCATTTTCGCCATACTGACAATGTACGTTCAAGTTTTTTGTCAGTACATTTATTTTTAAATAACCTCGTTCTGAACCGTTCGTACTGCTTTTGTTCTGTGATATTTACGATTTGTTGTGTGATTTACAGGTCTATATCCTCATTTTGTGGATTCCAACCCAGAGACAGACCTGGCTGTGTTTGGTGCTGTGTGGGCAATGGGATTTAAATGTAAGTGTACTATTTTACGAAACAATATGTAGATTATTGCACAGCTAGCTGATATACTCGTTACAAAACAGCTATTTTGGGTGACATCGTTATGGCACAGAGTGTTACATAGTCAATTTTAGAGACTGTGGCTGCCTGTGACTTAGCCCTACATATAGCACTGTGTTAATCGGGGCGAACTAATGGACAATGTTCCTACACACAGCCCTAGGCTAAATGTGGTAGTTTTTTATTCGATCGGCACAAATAGCGACCATGCATTGGAACACGACTGTTTTGGGACGCATTCAAGATGACCGCTCTGAATAACTGGCTCGATTATTCTAATAGATATTTATTTGACCCAACGGTATCATTTGATGACTATTTCGGGGGCTATTACCACAGGGAGCCCAGGAACTATAATATAATCAACTGTACGCACTCCCTATGAGCGGGGGGGGGGGGGTTATCGGCTGGTATCTAGTGAAAGAAATAGACAAGGGATGAAGGCTCCAGCGAGCTCATATTTTTTAAACTGGGAAAAAACAGACGAACAGAATGAAAAATAAAATCTATAAAAAAACACCAGGTTGAAGAATATTAGTTGCTCTTTCAAATTTTGCCAAAGCCTTACCTATGTTTTACCTATAACTGCAGAAAAATCAAGACAACTACACATCTATTAATAATTAACGGTTGGCCCGAACGCACGAATGCGTTGCACCTTTTACATATACGTTCTGTAGCCCCAAAGTCTGTTCTAAATACTTATGTGTGTTTCAGTTTGTGATGATGGTCGTTTGAAGTGTCCTGATGATAATTGTATGAGCCACGCTGAAATGTGTGACAATGGCATTGACTGCAGTTGTGGTGGTATGAAGGGTTTGATTGATATGATGGTTCAAGAAACAAGTAAGTTTATTGTACATGCTCTATTTATTCCACACTTATATGACCGTAATTCATATACCTAGTAAACATTTACCCTGTGAATGGCAAAGGTGTTATTTTAGTCAAATGTACATTAGTTCCCCTCTAAATAATGTTATGCAAATGGTTTAGTGAATCATGTTAATAGTCGATAGATCATCAATCATTGCATTATCGTGACCATGCATTTGTCATTGACCACAGTGAATCTGCACCCTACAAATACTGTTTAAATATTGCATTGAACACACGTGAATCACATAACAACACCAACGTCTTCTAACATTGATTCACAGAAATGGCACTGGAATTCAACACAGGTGGAATAGTAGAACGTTCTTTGCCACAACCAGTACAGAAGATAAGACGATTTCTAAAGACCATCACTAAGTAGTCGATAAGTGGTGAATGTAGCAACTAGTAACGTTAATAGTAGCAGCTTACAGATAGTTACGAATACATTAAAGTACAGTGACATTTAAAAGTACCCTCTTCACAATTTGTCTGGAATATAGAGTAACTGTTGATTTGGTATGTAATTATGCAGAATAAAGATGGTGTATTCAATGAAATGTAGTGCGTAGATGTCAGAGCTGAGTGGCATATGATGGTACAGGAGTGAACGGGATGAAATGTTGCACATGTAGCTCGTACGTGAGGCAAAACACTGGGTTTTGGATCACTATCAGGTATTCTGTGCATATCAATAGTCACTTATCTTAAAGCGGGAGGGTCGTCACATGCGCACGCGCGGGAATGTTGCCCCAAATGACGATAACAACGTATGCTAAAAACGCAAAGGCTCATGGGTAGACGCGTGTTTGTAAACAATGACATGCTATTGCCGCCTGACGCATGCGCAGGTAACGACTCCTACGCTTAGCCACAGTCCCTCTTTATAGAGACTGTGGTTTAGCAGCATATACTGCGCTTTATGTTCCTCGCACTTTGGGACAGATTACAGACTTCAGACTCAAACTTTCCCAGTTTCAGATTTGTAATGTTTTTGTTGGCTGATAGGACGGGCAATAGCAGAATACCTTGGGACAAAGTTGTGATATTTGCCTGTTCTACTCAAAACCTATGCAAAACTCACCTTTATTAATAGGATCTGGCCAACTACGTAATGCTTCAGTTTTATCTGGATCAACTTGAACTCTTGAAATGCTATGACTGGATTATGTCATGTGATTTGTCACTTTAATTTCAATATAAATTCATGTTTATCTCTTCCAAATGCTGTAATACCTGCTCTAGACGTTTAACATGCTCTTCAAAGGTCTTTGAAAGCACAATTATGACGTCATGTCCGATCATTTTTTCTATTGATCTTCGGCACGTTAAATTTGTGTTCGCGAATCAACAAAACTTTCCGTACATTGAGCTCACGCCATGCTTACTCGCATTTTAATGCTTCAGTAATTCACACTAATCTGTAGTCAGTCATACATTATACCACATACACAACCAAATGAGATGACCAAGGACTTTTTTATTCGTAAATAATTCCAGTTTATATTTGTTGGAAACATTGTCTTTCATAAATTAGTTCTTAAATGCCTACTTAATGTGAAAGTGGGCGAGTCACAAATTATTCTCTAAACGTTTGCATGCTACAATAACAACTTAGCCCGACACCGTTATTAACACATTCCTTAACATGAATGACCTGTGAATTGTAAAATACATATGTAACACTGTGGGCCATCCGATTGCATCTTTTTCTTTAACTGCCTCTGTTTTCTAGCTACGACAAAACAACTACAGACATGCCGCCAATAATTCGTTGTAAACAAAATCCAACGAAGAGGTGAAAAAAGAAATTGAGATAATTTATTTGAAAAGGGTCAAATACGAGTGCACATTACAACTTTGTCGTATTTCAACTAATCAGCAGCATTTCTTTGACAAGTTATATACTTGTGGTGAAAAGGATAATTTTAATGTCGAGGTCAATTCTAGCTTTTTGGCAGAATTTTTTTAGTGTCTTAAGCTTGGAGGTTGTTTACAAAAAATACTTTACAGAGAATATATATGCATAACTTACTATAAAAAACTTCACTATAAAAAAAATAAATACACATCCACTAGTCAACAAATCTTCTTCCTAAAAATGTCTGCTCGCAGCTAAACCACATTATGACAATACTTCAACAGGAACAATAATACAACAGGAAGAGGGCGCCGTGCAAATATCAACAAAGGTAATTGAGGGCGATGTGCATATTAGTGTAACAACGATGTTCGATTGAGAACGCTCAAAATCTCTCAACACTATTCGTAAAATATTATTTCATTGATATGAACATATCTAATGCTTTCAATGAATACACATTTGTTGTATTCAGTCCTTTAGTTTTCTTGATAACAGAAAAAACATACACATCCGTCACTGTGATTGTGAGTTACATAATTGTAATCTAAGTTTCACTTTACTTGAAACAAAATTTCAAAATCACAACGCGTGATGGCGCTATATGCGCTAATACCGTTTCATAGGATTTCAGTGCTGAATGAATGAGTTGAAGCAGGGTTGGCGTAGCACTTAATAAAATGACATGATGCAAGTATAAATAAATGAACTGAATGACTTTAGATGGTGCCGTGGGGAAAGAAAAGTGAGAGTACAGTGCTAAATGAAATGAGATGGTGAAGTACTAAAACATGATTTGTTGCAGTGCTAAATACAATGAGGGGCGCAGTGCTGATTAAAATGAGATGGTGCAGTGCTGAATAAAATGAGATGGTGCAGTGCTAAATAAAATGAGATGGTGCAGTGCTAAATAAAATGAGATGGTTCAGTGCTAAATAAAATGAGATGGTGCAGTGCTAAATAGAATGCGATAGTACAGTGCTAAATAAAACGCGATGGTGCAGTGCTAAAGAAAATAAGGGGTGCAGTGCTGATTAAAATGAGATGGTGCAGTGCTAAATAAAATGAGATGGTGCAGTGCTGATTAAAATGAGATGGTGCAGTGATAAATAAAGTGAGATGGTGCAGTGCTAAATAAAATGCAATGGTTCAGTGCTGAATAAAATGAGATGTTGCAGTGCTAAATAAAATGAGATGGCGCAGTACTAAATAAAATGAGATGGTGAAGTGCTGAATAAAATGAGATGGTGCAGTGCTAAATACAATGAGATGGTGCAGTGCGAAATAAAATG